AAGTGGCGATCACGCTAAGCCACAACGGGGGACAAGTGTTTCGACTCCATGCAAGGCAAGACCAACGAGAGGCCCGTCTTTTCGCTTCTTTCTTCCAGTTCTCCATCGTTCAGAGTCGCTTTCCTTGTGACTCACACACACATCATCCCCCGCCAGACTTGTCAAGCTCCAGGCTCAGCGACCAAGTACTTGCGGCCCCCAGTGACCCAATCCAATCGCCCTTGGGAGAGGGGAGCACAGGGCCAGGCACGACTGTCTGGACTGATGAGTCTTGCATTTCGTAACTCTACGCACATGGAAGAGTCACTTAGGCCGCGCAGTCCCGCCCGAACTTAGTCTACCACGGTACCCCGCCACTACAGTGCATTCCGCACGCGGTAACATAAACTTGCACTGTCCCTATCGAGACAGTACAACCACTCGGGAAAACGGCCTCGCTCCATGTGTCGTTGACTTGGGCTTTGCTACCATCAAGGGTGGGTTATGATGCTTAGTAGAATACAACCTCGACGTACATAGTAGAACGTACGGCGGATTTCGGGAGAGCCCGACCAAACGATACGTACATCAAACTCAATGCTAATGCCATGGGCAAGACGGGAGGCCGCCCACCAACTCGCCTCTTCATGCCGGCGTGGTTTCTCTCACCGCATCTCATCTACATAGTACCTCTCCTCGTTGTTGGTAACCTGGGTCTCGGGTGCCACTTCGTTGAGCATTACTCTCATGATTTCTTCGACGTGGTTGGTGGCCCCCAACGTGCTTCCCTTTCTCAAAGGCGGAGCAGTTGTGCGAGATTAACGTTCTTTAGGCAGGAGACTGGAGTAGGTACCTTGGGCATTGGGTGCGCATTGGAGCGGTCGATTGGATTGGACCGCTCATTGGTCAATTGCCCATCGTTCCCCCGTCACCTCTCCTGCTTTGGCTTGTGTCATCCGTTGCCGATTGCCTTGCCACGCTTCCTGCAGCGACTGGCACCAGGAAACTCTGTCTTGACCGAATCGATGGATCTCATTCAGGGACGAGGGCCTGGGAGCCCGCCTTGCGGCTCCATTGTCTGGCTCGTTGCCACTGCTTCCAGTATTTGCCGACGCCGTCCCTTGCCTGCGGCTGCATCACATACCGCAAATGGCCTCTTCTGCGCTATGCCTTGCGTTTTTGTGCCAACCCACTTACTTTGGGGAGCACATTTGGCTGCTCTGCATTTGTTGTCCTGCGCCGCGATTAGTCTCATCTGGAACTGCACGTGTGATCATCGAATGCGGCCTTTCTTCCAATTGGGTTGTCGGTCAGGCCACCGGCCTCACTCGTTGGCGTCCATGTTGTTGTTTTGCTTCAAAAAGCGGTTTTGCGAAAACCAACGCAAGGTACTTTTGGCCAAGGTGCTGTAAGTCCGAGAAGATGGGTTTCAAGTCAGGCATCCCATGCTTCGTGCGTTTGTTTGGGCCTCTCTGCTGCTGGGTTAGCCCTTTGGATGCGGTGGGCCATGGCCAGTTGCATGACCTGCAAAGCAGAAAGCCATGCCCATGTTTATCACAATCATGCTTCCCTCTGACGGGCCTGTTGATTGCTGTGGTTCTTTGACATCCAAGCACAGCAACAGTTTGGACTGGTATCAGAGGAGACACGAACGCAACCCAATTCGCTCAGCGTCTCGAGCGTAGTCGTATGTGGTGGAGGACGGAGTGGCTTGACATTTGGCCTACACAATCGAGGTGGTAGTGGGAGAGTACATTGCCGAGCTGCCCCATGAGTCCTCGCTAACCGCCGTCAAACGCCAGACGATACTCCAGCTTGGCTTCGTTTCTCGTGCCATCCCATCTTGTGTTCAGTGAGGCTAGGAAGCCCGCCCGCCCCTCCCAAACCATCGCCAATCGCGGCGCCATCTCAATATTCAGCCGCTCTAGCCCTGTCTCCTGCTTTACCTTTTCGTGTGGAGATACTTGGTGTCCAAGATCCCCAACACTTAGTCTGCCTGCCTAGCATCGGTCGCTGCAAAAGAGCGGCGGATGCATTGCTTCTTGATCGCGTTACCCCCCCAGTTGGCCCATCGAGGAGGGAGAACACAGCCATCTCAAGATGGATCCGTGTTAGTTAGTACATACTGTGCTGCGCAGTCGCGGGTTAGAGGCACAGAAGCTACTGTGTTGAGCAGACCCCGGCGCCGCGGACGGCAGGCTCTCGACCTTGTGCTCTGCGCTCACAATCGTAGGGCCCCTGTCTTGGGTATCCATCAGGTACCGACCCAGGGAATCCAGCTGCAATGGTACAGCAAAGATTCGGCAGTGAGAACGGGTCCGGTTGGGTCAGGAGCAGTAGAGCAGTCAGCGCGAGGGCTTCTCATGGGGTGTCCTAATGCTCGTAGCCTCAGATGCTGATTGGGCGTCGAACGGGCGAGCAAGTGACTTTGGTTCGAGACCCATATTGCCAGAATCAGAGACAGGCTGTCACCCGCCCACCCCTTTTGACACACACACCTTTGTTACGTGCCTTCAGATGCACTGTCCGTCGGTTCGTTCTGAGAAGGCACGCTCCAAAAGTGTTGACCGTTTGATGTGGGAGGGTGGGTGAGTGGTTTCTTGGACGCCACGACGGAGCATTGGGATGATGCGAGAACCGGTGGTTGTGGTGGCATCAGGTGAGAGCGATAAGATACAATGGTGGACGGAGACGAATCCGTTGCCAAGGCAGAGATGGTGCCAATTCATCCGTGAAGGACTCAATTGACAGCCAATGCCAAAGTACGAAGGAGGGCTACCGTCCACCCATTGCGCTGCTATCGGAGTCGTCCAACGGGACGGGGACCAGCATTGTTTGTTTTTGTGTTATTCTGATTACTGTTGCGGTGCAAAGCGCTGTATATCGACACGGAGAGCAGAGCAGTACCTAGAGTGCTAACCAAGGAAATGACAGCACTGTGAAGGCGCGTCTTCCACACAGCGAATCAATGGAGGGGCAGCGGGGGAGGGGCACGGGCAATTAGGTTGACTGCCTTGACGGCGACTTTTCTTAGGGACGGGCTTTGTTTGCAACTACCAGGCGCCAAATGCGGAGGTACAGCGATGTATCTTTTCCCTGCACGTACACGAAGCAGGTACGGGTACTTTCGTGCCCAAAATATACTGTGATTCCCTTCTCTCTTCTTTTTCCTTTCTCAGGCCGGCCTGGACTGGGCCTATGGTACGAGTGACTCTGTAGCAGTGGCATTGGAAATACTACACCCACGCCCTCCCAGCGTTGCCTGTAGACCGCCACGCATGCCTCTCGCGGGGAAACAGAGTCGATAGAAAGAGGCAGAAAGGGGCCCAAGAAACCGAAAGGAAGAGGAAAGACTGTGACAGTAGTAAAGACACTGTCCAACGCCCCTAAGCAGACAAGGAGCAGCGTTGAAGCAGCACAGTACCACAGCATGACGATTGATTGACCAACTCAAACCACAACGACACAATTGGCATCCCCTTCCCCCTGCGCCATTGCCGGATTTCTCTTCTTGTCCCTTTAAACAAATCATATCAGAATGCAATTCCCACAAGAGTGAGTGGTGCGGTGTGGCTCGATCTGACTGGACAGTCCGCAAGGCAACACCTCACGCTGGCCGCCGCCAGAGGGAGGGCGTGCAATTGAAACTCGGCGACAGGGGGGTGGTCATACCAGCAAGTGACCCAATTGGCAGACAGGGGGCGGGTGTGCGTGAGCAGGGTAGGATCAGCGACGGGTGGGCAGGTGGGAAGGGTGGCGTGTGGGCGTGGCCCTGTCGAGTGACTCTTCTCTGTCCCAGGCAAAACCAGAACCAAACCAGGAAAGAAGGAGGGGCCCACTTTCCACGTCCACGTCCGCGCCCAGATCCTTTCTCCCCCAGACTCTGTTCACTTTCACTCTCTCTGTCTTGTCACTGCCGCCGCCTTACTACCTCAATCCTGGAGTTTATTGTAGGTACTACGGTAGGCCTCTCTCCTCCGTCTCTGCTTTGCCTGTGTGTAGCTCTTGTTCCGTGTATTCATCGACTTCCCCGACCGTCTTTCTGCCTGATACCGTATTCACAGGTACTTCCATTCGCTGTGACACGCCCTTCCCACGTCCCCTTCCGTCTCCATCTGCTCCTTCCTGCCTGCCCAACCTGGACCTGGCGTGCCTGGCTCTTGCCTGCCTTACCTTCCGCTCTACTCCTCCCCATCCTTCAGTCATCCATCATCCACTTTGCGCCTGGCTTCGCCTTACTTCCAAATCCTCTTATTATTCTTCTTGCTACCCTCCAAGCCTTCCTCCGTTTCTCCTTTCTTCTCCTCCTCTTCCTCTTCCTCTTCCACGTGTCCCATTTGCTGCGCTCAAGCATCAAATTAGTCTGCTCTCAAGTGCATAGAACCTCCGCATAGGTTCCATCGCCACATCAACACTGCTACCACTTCGCCACCAACACCCCTCAGTACGATACCAATTCGCTCCGTTGCCCAGGTCGCCAGTATCCGTCTATTGCCTTCTTACCCCCTCCTGGAAGCACGCTTTCATTCATTGTTGACTCTTTAAGTCAATGGAGACTTGTGGCTGCACTCAAGCGCACAAGTGACCGCCGATTGCATTTCTTCCACTGCCCACCCTCTGCTTGTTACTGCGTCAGCGCCCGACCGCAGTAAAGCGACACTCACACAAGCTTTCCGCTGCGCACGTCATTGTCGATTGGGACATAAATCCCCATTGACGGCCACACTCGACACCACAAGCAACCACTTTTCAATTCACACCCACCTCAAAGCTGGAAGACGTTTCGACCCGCTGCTGCTTTCGAATTCAGTCTGGAGACGAACCCTTTCCACCGCAATCCACCGTCTTCTCTGCCTGCCGAAACCCAATTCGCTCAACTCCGATAACTCCATACTCCGCCTCGCCACCGCTAACAGTACATGATGGCTGACAAACCCAACCAAACCCCCATCACACAGCCTACGACGACAGCAATCGTTGACTCAACCCGCACTCGCCAAATTCCTTTTAACATCTCCAAGATGCAGTCTTCTCCGGCTGCATCCATCTCGCAGACAATGGACTTCAAATACAACATGACGACCCCACAAGTGACCACGATGGCTCGGGATACGAAGAAAGCGTTCGACATCAGCAACCTCATGTCTCCTCCCGAGCCAGTACCCTACGACAGCTTCAGCCAGGGGCAGCAACGTTCTGCGTCCGTGTCTTCCGGTACACATCACGCACATGAAGCGACCAAGCCTAGCATGCCGATGTCGCCCCCTGTTTCGCCCTATATCACAGAGTCAAGCAACGTTCCTGTACCTGGGACACCTGCAAAGGATCCGATCTTGTACCCTCGCGACGATACCGCCTCGAGCCCTACCCAGCCGCCACTGTTTCCCAGCACTGAATCAATCGAACATCGACGCATCGTTGACGAGCACATCGTTGCCCGGCCTCCTGGCCTTTTTCGTGAGGGTTCACCTCCCCAACGAGAGGATTACGAACTTGCCCTGCAACTCAAGTCCCAGGTAATGAGACTGTTTGCCAACAAGAGGAAGTCATGGTACGAGAAAGAGAGAGAACAGGTCAGGGCCGACCGAAAGTTGAACCACGCTCGGTGGAACAGCGTCGTGCGATATCAGACCATTGCCCCAGCCAAATCTGCTCCTGCCAAGGCGACGAAATCCGCCCCGACCAAACCCAAGGTTGCTACATCTGCCAACTCGAAGCCCGACCGTGTTGTCAAGCCTCAGGCTCCTCGCCCTGTTCGCACCAGCCCTCCGACTCGTCACATTCGTCGCGTTAGTGCCACGCCGGACCCTGCTCGTCGAGTAGTTGCGCCGAACCGGGAGGACCGCGACTTCGCAGCTCTCCCCGACTACTGCCCTCCGCTGTCTTCGCTGCCTGACAAACCAAACTCCTTGAAGGTGGACTGGAAGGGCGCTCCTATCGACCTCAGTGACGACACCAACGTCCATTTGCTCCACCCTGACGAGGTCACCCTCGCAGCCAACCTTCGGCTTGACTGCGCCACCTACCTCACAAGCAAGCGACGCATTTTTGTCCGTCGGCTGGAGTGTGCACGAGTTGGCAAGGAGTTCCGCAAGACCGATGCTCAGCAGGCCTGCAAGATTGATGTCAACAAGGCTTCGAAGTTATGGACGGCTTTCGACAAGGTTGGCTGGCTTGAGCTGAAGTGGATGAGCAAGTTTGTCTGAACTCACTTCAGACACTGTTCATCTCGTGGATCATCTGGCATGATTCATAGACTCTCACCGGTACATTGATACCTGCACGTTTACTGCATTGCGAAGCCTCCTGATTACGCCACTCTGCTGTTTACGATTTACACTACGACTATGGGCTACGCGATCAACTCTTGCCATTTCCTATTTCATGTCGGTAACTGCATACAGCGATCTCGGTTTGGACTGTTTTCCGGATTCCTTTGCATCCCAAGATTGCCAGGTGGCTGATTTCTTCCTGCTGCAATGTCGTTCCGCCCAGCACGGGCGGTTTGCGGCCTCACTTTACTCGTTTACGTTTCGTTTTGGGATTTATTCATTAGTCATTCGGCATCACACCACGGACACAGCTTTTCAACACATCAGAGCATTAGGGATTACCACCATGATACCCGGAGTGCGACAGAAATCTGATTACCCCAGTCATGTCACCCCACTCCACGATATTTTTCTTTTATTATTTGGTCTGGATTTCATCTTTGCATTTGGGTCAATTGGCCATCATACCCCTTTCTCATGGTTTGGTTGGAGGATGCCCGGTTACATAGTAGGGATGACTATCCCACGGTCAGTGTTTCAGCGTTTCGCTGAGTCGGCGGTTGTGGTGGAGAGATGGGTTACCTGGATTGGGTTACCTGGTGGGAACTAGTGGTCTTACGGCAAAGCGATTGGGCTTTATCTACATCACGCACGGCATCTTGTCACATAATTTGGCAGCCATTCATTGACTGCGAAGCACACGCAGGCGGACGATAGTTAGAAAGTCGAGTAAGGCAAATTTACACAAGATGTACCGCACCAATAACAACAGACCACGGCCGCTTCTATACACTAAGAGATTGTGAACAGGCAGGCGGCGAGATGAGAAATGGCTCTTTTCCACCGGAAGCGACATGATGGCGTCGTCGATGGAATGTATTGCATAGCAGAACACATTGGCTCAGCCCTACGACAACTCTTTGTTCTTCTTGGAGGGGCGTGTTATTGGAGGGTGAACCCCTGCCTTGCGACGATAGGTTCTTTAGCGGAGCCCTCGGGTCGGGTTGGTTGATCGACGACGCGGGCGGGATGTTCGGATCGATCCAGCGGAAGCGCAAGTGTCAACTGCTGCACTGTCATGCTAGGGCGCAGGGGCTGCTTTGAGAGTGCCGAGAGCTCGGCTCACCTTGGGTCGCAGCGCAGAACCACTTTAGTGCAAGCGTGGAGCACACACTACGTATGTACTTAACTCTCACCTTTCCTCACCTGTCGAGCACTGTGGGGGTGGAGTTACACCGGCCTCCAGAGTAGATTTGCCTACGTCAGAAGGAGAATCGGTCGAATAGCTTGTAACTTACCAGCGTGTCGCTGGCCAATCAAATTATTAATAGATCAGGCAGAGAAAGAGAGAGAGAAAGGCTCTATGCATGAAGTTAGTTGTCGTGAAGCAAAGGTACACAATCTGTAGAGTCACAGCTCTTTTGTCCCTCTTTTGTCCCAAAAAATAAATAAAAACGAGTCGGGCGAACCGCATTCGTCTAGACTTCTACTCGCCCACCCATGAACAGACCCTATTGACCTTGGTAAGAAGTCCGAATGTGGATAATGATTGTCGCACAGATTTGGAATGAGTATGAGGGAGCAGATTGCCATCGAAGTGGGTGGTATGGTTATATCAGACTCGGTATCCTGGCCTTTCGCTCTTTGCGCTCTCTCCCACGTCACCGAGACGAGAGCAAGGCGAGGTGAGCTGTGCCATTGGCCACTCAGGCTGCGTAATTGACCCAAATCAACCGGGCAATAATCCATGACAAGATAATCCAGCCCGTGGTCAGTTTCGGACTCGCAGGGCCGCACGCAAACCCGAAACCACAGTTTGCCCATATGTTTCCAGTGATAGTTACACGGCATTGCAGATGGCTGCAGGTAGTTTAGGTGCATTGCTTATCCTCACGATCTGACCCGCAGGAGATCGAGAAGGAGAGAGGGAAAGAGAAAGCGCGATGGAGGGCGGGTTAATCAAAACAAGACAAGAACGAAGCTCCCGGCCATTTGTTGCGTGCATTGAAAATTTTCGCTCCCGCTCACCTGCACCAAAAGAAGGCAAGATAGCGTTTCTGCCGCAGCGGGTGTGGCCCCTACCATCCCGGGCGCCTCGTGCGCGCGTCAGGGAAGGGAAGGTACCTCCTCGCATCCCATGGTCAAGGGGGGGGTGTGCAGGCAAAGGGGAGTAGGTAGGTATTGGCGGCTTGCTCAATTTCTACATAGTACATTGAGTTGGACACCTGAGGAGGTTGCGGGTGATGGCCTGAGGCAAGAGAAAAAGGGACCGAGACGTTTGGAACTGAGGACTGAGGCAGCATCAGCAGTGGCAGCATCACGCACGATAAGCTATCGATAAGACGCGGGAAACGCCTCCCAGGAGAAACACCATCTGTCCGAGAGCCGTCCATCTAGCATTCTCATCCGCTTGTATGGAATCATGATGCTGCGCCATGGTCCTTCGCTTGACTCCTTGATCTCTCTCCCGTTTCGATTCTTTGACGTCAGGGAACCATCGGTCGAAGCATGTCCAAGGACACGGGTTGTCTCGAAACAGTCTTCCCAGCATACATAGCCATCATGTCTGTAGGTTCTTGGTAGGCGATTACTTTCACTTTCCCTTACAAAGCTCCACACTACTTCAAAGGTCGTGTACGCCCTCCTGGTGTACGACTATGCGCTTTGAACGTCGAGTCTCTTACTCATTTCTCGCCCCTAGCCTCAATAGATGGTATGCCCGTCCTAGTGTACGCCTTTGCCCTTACCCAAAGTATGCAATGTACATTGTTCGTCTCTCCAGGAGCCTCATTGACCACTTAGGTCTGTCCTCCTTGACCGAGAGCGCGGATTCTGCGGTCGAGATGGGAAAACTTGAAAGACGTAGGCGCACCACTGGTTGCGGAGCTGTTAGTGACCGTAGCACTGGGGGCCGGTTAGCAGAGACCACTGCGAGGCAAATTCAGAAGCAGTTGTCATCAGGAACTGGAATGACCGTCTTATTTGTGGCACTCTTGATTACATACCGATCCGTTAACGCCGTTCTTTCGCCCCCCAGCGCATCCCGTAACCTTCTTTGCTTGCGAATTTCCCCCATTCATCCGGATCCCGGTTGTGAATCTCCCTCCTGTGAGTCTCGCAGGAAATTGGATTGTAGCGGTTGGGTAGCTCATTCATTCTATCCAAGACCTCGATCTAGCTGGATCGGGTTGATGAAGCCAGGAGGTTCTGTATGTCATCGAGGGCGCTAAGCTGCCGTCGAGGCCTGCTGGGCGCTACAATGGCGCGTCTCATGTCCTTGGGGTGCCCGGCTTGCTTCGTCTTCAAGGGTTTGGGTTACGGAGACGATGCTATCGTTCTCCTTGCCCTGGCATCCTCCACTGATTGAGCCTTGGACCTAAGTATTCTCCCCGTCTCCGGCGCAGCGATATGCAATGCCACATTTCTAAAAGATTATGTTCTCAATATGCGGTTTCTGAGCGCCAATCAAGGTAAGGATGATGATATCGGGCAGAACAGACCGATTGAATCTCAGACATTCGCACAGCCTGACAATCACGCCAGACTCACATACGTTGAATTTTCCGGAGTAACCATCTCACGGTTTGACGTGCCGGTAGTCAAGCCATGGCATATTCTGCGAGCCCATCCTAGGAACCGGTCCTTGGCCTTGATGCAAGAGTGATCGAAGAGGAGCGGGTACCAGGCATTCAACAGCCTACGAATACCCGGCACCATACGCCTCTGTATTTGGAGTTTCGGATAGTACGAGCCACACTCCACGAGCTTCTGGAAGAGAGAGATGTTCAAACAAAAAGAGAGGCTTGGTCAGCTCCAGCACTTTGGCGTGAGGCGCGAGTTGCCTGTGATCGCTCGTAAGAATAAATTGCTGCAGAGAAGATAACAGGCGACAGCGATGTTTGCTTTGAAAGCCTCAGAGGTTTCTTCAATCGTTATGACATGTGGCTGTACCGCGGCAATCAGGATGCGGTATTTTGTGAAACTTGCCATTGTGCACCCGACGATGGAGTCCCTTGATTATCGGATAGCGTCAATGTCCTCTTGGTATCGAGTCACCTTGATTTGCCCGACAACCTCATCGGTTCGTTTGAAGGTGGTGCAACGAGCTGGCCTGTTTGAAAAATCCTAACGACGCTCGAGTGCTGGTAATAATGCCGCGATGAGCAGGGGCGATATCCCAAAGGCAATTAATGTCGAGGAGTTATTTAGCCAGAACCTTGCCCTCCGAACAAAGCTTTGTAATCATTGGCAAACTCACGGATGATAAGTCGCACGTTGGATGACTGCACCCTTAGTAAGATCCCGAGCCGACATGGGCGTGTGAGTCTTGCCCGCTCCGGAAGGACCCTGTATAATGACCAACCCTTTTGAGATCATCCTATGATGTATTGGCACCTTCAATCTGCCCAGTCTTGTTTTCGACTGCACATGGTCCGAAATGGGGACGTGCCTGAATATCGGGTTGTGAACACCGTCATGTAAGGCCAACATATTCAAGGATGAGGTGAAGCAGGGCGTGAATGCTGGCCGATCAACACCGTTCAAGCCTCTGGCTAGATACTTAGCGAACGACAATCTAGATTTGGGTCAATATTGGCTTTGCGACACGCTGGGGAGAGTTTCTACTATCCCTTGCCATCTGCTTTAGACCCTCCAAGGCATACCCAACGGCCATGTAGTAGCAGTTTGAGCGCGCTTTGATCATTACGTACTCTAGGTCAGACTTCATGAAGCCAGAGGTGACATCGTCATCAGGGGCTTCCAGATTCAAGAAATGCAACATCATAGGGCTGCCAATGAGTTCGTTATAACAGCCAGTTGCCACAGCCATGTCATATCCCATCTGCATTCTATTCGAAAAGGGGTACAAAGCCACGATCGTACCCATGGCCAGATACCGAGAAGCAGGAAAGGTGGTAAGATGTCGGGCACGCACAGCGGAGAGGGTAACGTGGACTATGACGCTGAGACAGATAATATTGGCGCCATGGGCAAAGACCTGGGAGCCCGGTGTCAGCACCTGCCTGTAATTTTTGAAATTGTGGAAGGACTCTCAGATTGGTGTATGGGCATGCCCCGGTGTTCTCTGCCATCTATGGAATGGATATGTACGCTTACACTGCCTTGCGTATAGACTCGAGGCTGTCGTAGCGCAGGAGTCCAGAATAAACCTCAATATAGGCTTCTTTATTCGGGTAGATGGTGTTGATATGGTTCTCCCCAGTCATCTCGGCCGTCTCCTTCATGACCTTTTCGGTCGGAGACAGCTCGGGTGTACCGCCATAACACATTGTCAGAAGAGACTCAAAGAGAATAGAGCTGTTGGGAATGAGAGTGGATAGAAACTAGCCGAGGTGGGGTGGAACAGAACACGCCTGGCAGAGTAGGTTGAAATGTGGTGAGGTTTTCGTGTACGCAGACAAGCATTAATGGCAACTTTGACCAGTGTTCCCGTCAACAATCTAAGAACTGAGTTTACCGGAATGTTAGAATGTCGGCATACAAACATGAAAACGGCAACAAAACTCTAAGAAGACTTGCTTGAGAACAGGCGAAGAGTATTTGGCTCCAACAGCAAACAGCAAGGATAAACAGTGTAATGAAAGGAACCCAATAAGCACCTGGGGGGAAACTCAACGCAAACATATATTTATGGAAGTGTAACACCTCTTAAGGAGGATGCGCCAGGTAGTAAAAAGCTGTAAGAGGCAAAAGAGGAGAAATCGAGAAGGGGGGAACTTGCGAACAATCGTGATTATTGTGGGTAGTGAACTACAGTAATATAGTATTCGTTTGTCAGTCCAGTTTGGCTTGGCATAAGCTCCATACGTCACAGCTGTCGATCAAAGCGGTTGTCGACCGCCAGCAGGACAGCAGCGCCAATAGCAATGCAACCGGCTAGGGCCCTGTGTTAGGTGTGACAGCTCCTACGTGGTTCAGCGGAAGGCATTTTGCTTTTCCATCAAAGATATGAAGCTTCGCGGTGCTAGAAGAACTTGGTGAAGAAGAGAGGAAAATTAATGCGTCCACATCAAACCCTTTCTGCTGAATCTGACCGCTGCGAACTGATATTGGTAGCGGTACCTGTGCATAGTATGGTTGTGTTAGCAACAGCAAGGTGAGTCTCGATTACTCAAATAGAATGCCGCAGAGTGCTTCTTGGTATTTGGTTGATACCTTGATTGTCGGCCTACCCATAGCAAAGCCGCTCGAACGGAGGCACCGAGCAGGCTTTCTCAACCAGACCGCATGTTAACTTTTGCGCAGAAACTCAATTCGGGACCATAGGACGAAGGACTTCACGAATTGTGAAAAGAGCGGTCGTTGCCTTATGACAGATGGTCAGATAGGACCCGTAAAGCGAAGTTTGGCGGAGCACGACATGAGCGGTGTCGTCCGGTTTCTGGCGGGACCGGCGTCCCTCCTCCGTACGACACGAAGTTTAACCGGACCCGACCCTCAATCCGGAATCGTCGGTGAATGTTGCGGCTCCGGAGACATGTTCCTGGAGGATAAGCGCGATTCCAGGGGGGTGCTAGCGTGCTTGGGTCCTGTAGCCCTGCAAGGCCCCCGCTGTGTCACTCCGAATGGAAAGCTAAACTGCCCTGCGCGGCGCACAGAACAAAGCGAGGTGGGCACATAGCCAGGTGAGGTCGGTGCTGCGGGCTCAGGTGCTCCAACCTAGTCACGTCGCGACCCTCAGCTTTCGCGACGATTCCATGCGAAGTTGCGGACACCATCAGCCTTCACCACCCATCACCTTCAACAGCCCATTGCTGCCACCATACTTACGAAAAGCTTTAACTCTTGGAAGCAATTGGAATTGTGCGACTACCGCATATAGCAAACACATCACTTAGTCGCAATCATAGCAAATTCCTTCCCTCTCAGCCTGCGCGCAAAGCCGCCAACGTCGCGACCTCGCCAGAACCCTCAGCGCGATCCCGCTTTCCCCTGGTTCAACCTCACAGGCAGCTGCCCGATTGGTGGTTCCTAAAACTTCGCCATGGACGACGATGATAGAGGTACAACTGCATTCTCTGCGCTCTCCCGTACCGTAGCTGACCTGCTACGACAACCCAGATTCCAACGCGAGCTCCGAAAATGACCAGAACGACCAGAACGACCAAAATGACCAGGATGAGGTCATGGAAGACGTAGACGATGCCGATGGCGACATGGAAAACGACGAAGAAGACAACGATGATGACCAGGATGACAACGACCGTGAAGAAACAGGGGATGATGCGCAAGAGAAGGGCGATGAGGCAGCGGCACGAGACGCAAGGGAACCCTCGAGGGAAGGATCGGCCAGCGCGAGGGCATCTCCAGAGGGCAAAGGTAAATCGCCAATACCCTTCTCGAGCCTTTTCCCGACCGTACGGCCAGAAGCTGTCAGAGCCCGTCTATACGACATCGTGCCCACAATGGCCGCCCCGCAGGCAACGAGTATCAACGCTATTGCCATTACCCCCGACCTTCGATACTGGATGACGGGAGGCTCGGACGGCTATATCAGGAAATACGACGGCCCGGGAACAATCAACGGCAAACAGCTCCTGACAGTTGCGCAAAGGCACCCCTTTGTCGATAGTGTCGTCAAGGCGGGCATTCTGATGTCTTACTGGGAGAACGAAGAGCCGGGCCCGCCCAACCCCAGAGGAAATGAAGAGCACGTGCTATCGCCCGTATACTCTTTGGCCGTTCACTCACAAGCCTTGTGGCTTCTGTCTGGCCTGGAGTCTGGCGGCATCAACCTTCAAAGCGTAAGACACGACGAAGGAAAACGCATTACATGCCTGCAGCAACACACCAATGCCGTTAGTGTCTTGACATTAGCACAGGACGAGAAGAGTGTGTTGAGCGGCAGTTGGGACAAGAACATCTACGACTGGGACCTGAACACGGGAGGTGTGAAGCGGTCATTTGACGGTAGCGGAGGCCAGACTTCTGCCATTGAGCTCCGCCCGGTCAATGGAGCACCCATCCCTGCCGATGCGATGGAGGAGGACATCAAGTTCGACGTAACGTTTACTTCAAACAACGGCAAGCCTTTGCAGAACGGCACTGCAGATGCTCCGAACGGGGGCGACGCATCGGCCCCCGCCGCGTCTGGTGAGGTCGCCGAAGGACAGGCATCACCTGCACATGAGTCGCTCTTTGGCGGCAGTGATACTGGGTCTCTTTTCGGCGATAATGTTGCGGGCAACTACGGTGGTGATGATGATGATGAGTTCTCAAGGGCTATGGGTGATATGGGAATGCCCCCTCTTCACGATGGTTCTGGGCAGGACGGGGGCATGGACCATTCTGCCGACATTGACATGACCAATGCATTTAACGCCGACTCAGCCTCGGCGCCAGCCGTTCAGCCTCCGGGAAGCAGCAGTCCAGAAGTTTCAAAGCAACAGCCACCGGCATCGGCTCCGGACGCTGCGGCTCCGGACGGCTCCTCAACGCAGGAGGGTGCAAAGGATGCTGAGGCGCCGCCTCCTGTCTCTGATTTTCCGGATATTCCCCCAGTGCCCGATGTGCAGCCAGACGACCCAGCACCCGGATCGCCATCTATGGTGTTCGTGTCAGAGCCCGCCGTCCCAGCCATGGACCCTACACAGTCAGCAGACACAATCTTCTTCTCCGCAGCCATTGATGGCAATATTAGACTGTGGGACCGGCGTGTGCAAGACCCTGTTGCTAGGATAAGCAACCAGCGGGGTGTGCCACCTTGGTGCATGGGCGCTTGCTGGAGTCCAGATGGTAACTGGATCTACGCTGGTAGACGAAACGGAACAGTAGAAGAGTACAGCATCCACAAAGCTAGAAGCGGCTGGGCCCCGGAGCGAACTCTCAAATTCCCAGCCGGCAGTGGAGCTGTGAGCGCAGTGCGAGCGATGCCGAATGGCCGACACCTTGTCTGGTATGTTTTGGACGCATGAACCGAACCCCATATGCTGGATCTAACACAAACAGTGCCTCGCATGACATTCTCCGGCTGTACGACCTTAAAGACACACGGGCCTTTAAGCACTCGACTGTTCCCTTCCTGATTATTCCTGGCCCCCCACGCGCCGGTGTCATTTCGTCGCTCTACATTGACCGGACATGTCGCTTCATGCTCTCGGCTGCCGGGACACGTGGCTGGGAAGGCACGAGCACTGAAGTCCTTATAGGGTATGAAATCGGCGTCACAGAATAAAAGTGATGGTCCCCATACTTCTCTTGTGGTTCGGTGGCGGAAAAGGAGACGGAGTTGCAAAACGGGTTGAAATGACTTCTACTATTCTAGGATACGATACAGAGTCTGGAAAGGGCTTTCTCGGCGGTGCAAACAGGAGTCGGGCAAGATGCATCCGTATTTGAGTGGTCGCGGTTGCAAAAGCCTTGGCAGTCCCAGAACCAATATTAATAATACCCTTTTAGTTACAGCAGGGTTCCGCACGCTTTGTGAGGCGACTGCTCCTTCATCGTTAGGTCCTAATGTTCAGCGGAAGTCATGCCTTCGACGACGTAACCCTTGAATTTACGCGCCGGGACTCGCTTTTCGAACAAGATGTCGAGCTCTTCGTAAGTGCGCCCCATGGTCTCGGGGACGCGGAACCAGGCCCAGATGAAGCACAGGGCCGCCAGGCCTCCGAAGAAGAACCCCAGCTTCCCCTGCATGTTTGCCTCGTCTGGGTTGATCATGTATGGTATAGCAACAGTCATGATGATTCCGAGGACACCCTGGGCAGCGGTGGCAAGAGCAATCGTCTTCGATCGGACTCTTGTGGCCGAGGCTTCGGAGATGAGGACAAAACAGATGGGACCAACAGATAGATCGTAGGCAAAGTTCCAGATGAGCATCAGGGACGATTCTGCCCAAGCAACGCCCTTCGGCCGCCCTGGGACACAATCAAGAATGCCGATGAGAAGCTGCAAGACCACCAAGGAGGCCAATCCGATGATGTAGATGGGTCGTCTGCCGTAGTGGATCAAGAAGTACCAAGATGTGACAGTGCCGAGGAATCCGACGGCTATAAGAATCAGTCATTGCAGAGCGTCACAAGGGCCAGTATTCGTAACTTACCAAGGAATCCAATAGCCATGTCAAATGCCTTGTCAGTAGGCAGGCCGGCTTGCTGAAAGAAGTACGTGCCGTAGTTAATGAGATATATGCCGCTAAGAACCTGGGTGCAGTAGACTCCGACTGAAATCTCGGTTCGTCTCAAGTTGACGCCCTTCAGGCAGTCCCGGTACGTACTGCCTGCTTCAAGCTCTTGCTCGAGCCTGTCGGTTTCAACAATGAATGCCAAGGAAGCGGCGACGTTGACTTTCGTGGAAGCCAGCTGACGGAGGCTCTTCTCTGCGTCGTCCATCCTGCCCTTACGAACCAGCCACCAGGGGCTCTCTGGTATGAAGAGCAGGCCGGGGAGGATGACAAGGATCCAGAACCACTGCAGCGCGAAGGGGAGAGAGTACGCCCAGTGAGTATCGAGCTTTGACGTCCCGGCCGTCACTCCGTTAGCCAGAAGCTGGCCCATGACGAAGCAGAGGTTGACGTAGGACGTGAGATGGCCACGAAGAGCTGTGGGGCAAACTTCAGAGGCATAGGCCGGAGCGATGACGACATACATACCCAGGACGAGGCCCCGAGAAGCTCGCCCACCAGTAAGACGGATAAGGAACGCGCGAAAAACTGTATGAACACGATGCCGGCGGTCAACACCACGCATGCGGCGAATGTCAACTTCCGACCGAACCAGTCCATGGGGTACGCCGCGAACAGAGCGCCGACGACTTGGCCGACGGGGTTACCCATGGACAGTCCGGTTTGCCATGCAGCGCCTGAGTATGTCAACAAAGTGAGCCAACTAGTCAACGGTGAATCGCTGCATACTGATAATGTACTATAGCCGGTTAGTCGAAAGGTAAGAAGAATCGCCCGAGACAGAGGACTCACGGAGCCCTCATATTCGTAGCCAAAGTCTCGCTGAAACTGAGGTGTGGCGTAGAGGTTGCCCAGCAGTTGGGGGTCAAACGCCAGCATGATGACCCCGAGAGACACAAAGGCAGACCATCCAATAGCAGCGGGGTACAGCTTGACAGCTTGGGAGAAGGTTAAGTTGTGTTCGAGGCGGATGGCCTCAGCCAAGGCCGCATCTTCGACATCAGGCTTTGCGTCTGGAGCGACGGCAATGGTCTCGACATCTTTGGATGCCATTGCGGAACTGGTACTGTATGATGGACCGTCAATTCTGTGAAGAAGAGGTTGAATCTCACCGTCGGCCTCGATCCCTGCGGACGAATGCGGGGGAGACATGTTCATATTATCCTCTGTTTACATATCCGTGGCAATCTGGTGTGAACAAGCCATGTCGTATCCAGCGGTCACGGTATCAGGACCCCTCATCGCCGGCAAATGCCGGTTCGAACCCCGAATGGCTGGCCGCTATCGTTGTGAAGGGATCCGAATACAGGGTAAAGTGTGGTTGGTAGGTCTGCGGAGATAAAAGGAGCCCCTGGTCAACAGGGGGAGGGGGATTTGGTGGTGTGGTTGTGTTGGTGAGGATGGATGGACGCGAGGCAGAAAGCATGAACCCAGAAGTCAAACCAGAGGTGAAAGCATTGGCGCACATGCCGTGTTCCGGTTATCAGCGAGGATGCATTAGCACGCTAAACCGCTGTGGGATGCTGGAGATAGTGGTGTAAACGTTAAAAACAAGTACGAGACCACGCGAGGTGGGGGAGTCCATGGGGAAGGTGTGTACCTTGGCTCGTCTCTCAGAGCTTGATTTGACCGCGCATCATAAGTCACTCTAATCGCTCACGCCTTACAACTGCTCACCCCGATATTGGTCTTAACTCTCGTGACCTGATTACTTCATGGTTTTCTTCTTGTTAGTCCAAGACTCGTCTGACTGTCTACGAACGTTAATGTTCTTGTCCTCTGGTCTACTGGATGCGCCCGATTTGACCTCCTTCACTTGACCAGCCTCTTCAGCATCATCTATTGATTTCCCAGGCTGGTGATTAAACAACGTACAATCTAGTAGTCCATTCAACTCTTTCATTTACTTCTACTTCTACTTGATTTTCTTTGATCTCCTCAACTTACCATAGCGGTTCGTTTACTGTTTTCTTCGGAGCGCTAGATACATTGCACGGCTGTGAACATACTGATCTCTGGATTAGCGGCTTTATCTGAGTCGTTTCTTCGCGAACAACTTGAGTTGCCTTCGGGGCGGCTCGAGGCTCTCGGAATGCATACCTAGCCAATTTGTTATCGTTCAGTTGCGAACCAAGTGAACAGACGACAGGCTGCTGAATAGGATCATTGAGTGAAGCAACTGGTTTGTCATGGCACAGGTGGCCGTCGGGAGCTTAACGCAGATATCTAATAACTCCTCCCATCAAATCCACAAACTTGCAATGATGATACCGTTATCGTCCAGGTGTTGGTCCATGTGGTTGGTTTTGACAGAGCTGGAAGAGGCCTTCTTCATCCGTCCTGCCGTCGGATCAATGACATTCATGGTAGCCTTGTTTACAATATCGCTGTCATGACGGAGATACCGCTCAAAACTTTAGCCCTAAGAATATCCGTTGACTTCTCTCCCGAAGACTTGGGTCATTCTAGTATAGCCTGACAGGCTCTATGGTGGGCGAGATTGTGTGTCTGGCAAATGATAGTCAGTCTTTTCCGCATTACTAGTTTCAAGAAGAACAGTGGAGCATGGTGTTGTCTTGCGGCATCAAAACAGAGACCAAGATGCTTGTGGAAATTTGTCTGTTGTTTGCCTAAGAAAGTCCAGTTCTGACACTCAATATGACCACAAAGCACAACCTACACTTCATCGATCTGGTGACAGCTAGCGGACAAAATCCGATCTTGAAAAGGCCTCCAAGCCGTCCGCTACGCTCGTCAGATACGCAGAGCCATCATTACTGAGACTCGGGCCGTGGCGGCTGCGGATCAACCAGGCAATCTGAGCCTCAGCAGAGTTGACCCTCTGTCTTTCTTTCGTCCATGGCAATTTGGGAGTTGCTGCGGCATCCCGAGTTGTGCTGCGGAGCTTGTGATGGCTACCCCGTTTCATCAGAACAGCCGAGAGGCCCCAAGTCTGACACACAGGAGCTGTCTGATGCCAAGTAACCAGAAACGCTGGGAAGCCCTGTCCGAAGTTGCCTGGCTCTCGATTGGGCTTTCTCTCTTCGGCTGCCGAGACGACAATCAACTGACACCGGCTTCATGGCGAAATTTTGCCTGTTCGGGAAGCCTTGGTTTTCTTATCCGTCGGGGCCTTGATGCGGAACAACTTGCCACGTACCTTATGTGGTAATGTCTACTGGCTGAACAAGATAGGAGCTATGTCGGCATACTCTCTCATTCTGCTGGGAAGATACGGTATCGGCTGGATAGTACTACCAAGAAACATGGGTTGTTGGTCGGTATTGAGGAATCAAGTTGGTGGTATGTTTCTATGTACAGTACTTGTTTCTTGGTTCGTCAATAACCTGTTCTTTTTCCAATGTGCAGGTCATACCCGAAACTAGATTTACACATCCCTCAACCATTGTCTTTGTATTTTTGCTAGCAATATGAAGAGTAACATTTAGCATCTTTAGAGAAGATATCGCATTTTATCAACCATCGTTGTCTCGGGCCAACGGAATATGAAGCTATAAGCGAGGTACCAGACTATAAGAAATCATCTAGACACCGCTGCTTTAATCCGCCCCAAACTTGAGAGCCCCAATGAAACTCGTACCGTCTCAAAGTTCTGCAAGACTCATCAGGGAGGTTCAGGGTCCTCGTCGCAAGGGCCTCGGTGCTTCTTCGTCATGATAAGGCACTAGCGAAATCCTGACAATTCGTCTTCACTCGGGCATGAGGGAGACATGAGTGAAGCTGAGGGGATTACAACATACAGTACTGTGTCTTCCATTAGATCGACTTCGCAGTCAGAGAACAGCAACTAGCAACTAGCAACATGGTATTTGTGGAAGGAATCAGCACATGTACACTTCGATCCTGAAGGTGGCTTTCGACAACGAGCGTCGTTACCTCTACCGCTGGCCCATGAAGAATCGTACGAATGTATACTAAAATGTTGGAAGAACCCATAGAGAGGTAACCCCCCCCTCACGTCCTTGCCTTACTCAGCCTCCAACGAGACTGGATACGTGCATCAAAACGGCATGCCGGTCAGTGATGCCTGCCAGTTCAAAAGCACACAGATGCAAGACTGGGTGGGAGTGGCCTTCCATAGCGGATGGCAAGGGTAACACTTGTGAGCTGTCTGACACTCAACTTCGTAGAAAGTCTTCAAGCGGGGGCGATAGCGGCGAGCGAGTTACGCTCCGAAAAAGATGTGAGTACATGGAGTCACTTCGCTCGTGGCGTTGCAAAGACCAGCGTCGCAGACGAGGCCAAGCACCACAATGTGTGCATGTCTTCTGTGTCCGTAGAGTTGGAGTACAATGTACAATAACGGCGATATGACGGCGAACGGGGGCAGCTGGCATCAAAAAACATGACAACGTATTCATTTCGATCTGCAACATAAGTTAAGAGTCATTCAAATGACATACGAAAAACCCATCTCGATGGTAGTTAGGGTCTGAAGGTGCGACGCGATCTACAACAGACTCCGAGTCCAAGTCACTCTGTGTCGTCACATTGCCAGAGTTTTCTTGGCGAGGTGCTCAAGAAATCAGTCCCCAGACGACAAAACCCGGACATATGTAGAGCTGCTTTGACGTTAAAGCTAACCAGAGCTTTCAACGACAGTATCTTGCAGTTTATGCTAGCAAGGTCTGGAAGTCCAAATTGAAAATCTACAAAGCAATAGATGAAAGGACCAAATTTTGACAATCATGCAAGCAGACTACGCTTTGTCAGAGTTCGCCGAAGGGCTCGAGCCAGCCCCTGCCCAACAGATCTACGGGTCAAGTAAGCCTTTGCCGACACGTACGTAGACCGTGTCCCCCGCTCCCACCCGGCATCGTGAGAGAGTGAGAAAGGCTAGGGAAACTAGTTCCCAGGCAGAAATCCTGGAAAACCTTGAGAGCTGAGTCCTTGCTGATCTGTTGTAGTTATTTTCTTTTGCCATCTTGCTATCCGCAACTGCAGTTCACACGATCAAGGAGATAACCGTGGCTAGTAACAGGATCAGCAACCCATGGACGATCACAGCCCCTGAGGCTCCATAGCAATGATTCGCGATCTTCGCCCTCTCCCCAATTCCTGACTGGCCCCCCATTGTCACAGAGTCTATGGCGTACTGCCCAAGACACCTGACTCCAAATGGCCCACAGGGTGGGCGGCAGCAGTGTTGGCCAAACTACGTCCCCGAGGACTCCATTGGGACGCTGCACATTTCAGCGAGCAAAAAGGAGAAGTCATCGCCGTATTCGAGTGTTTCTAGACGCCTCGCGCGAAAATGGGAAATTGACCCAGGCTTAACATCGCCTCACTTGGATAGATAGTCGAACTTTGATCGGATAATCGGTATAGTGCCGCACTTGCAGACTGTAAATAGAGTTGTCTAGATCGTGCAGAACGGGCGATAGCCTCGGAGCATAACCGGGAACCCGCGTATGCTGGCCCCTGGACGGTAACGGCCTTCTGGAGCTGAATGACAGATCCCAGCGTTTCAGCGTTCCGTTTCGGGAAGAAGCCGTCTATGTGGGAAATGAATTTCTCGTACTTGTGTGTCTGTCAAAGACCAAGGTTGCGTCAATGCGGAAGGAAAGACAGGCGGCCTCGCCCATGCCAAGTGCTCCAACGACGCGCGACGCCAGAGATCGTCGAAACTTAGAGACGTCGCGGAACCTGTGCGGAACAAACACAGCACGGCGCGTCGTAGGTAGGAGCGTTTGGTGCGTGCCTTGGAGGAGAATCTGCGGGGGATGGCCCTTGCCGCAGATCTCGGAGACCATGGCGATCAAGTGGGCTAGGCGCCTCAATGGAGTCGTCAAGATTGACCTCGCCACGTTGTCAAGTCGCGATGGTGTCGACCGGTTCCGACGCGTTGCAGAGTTTTCGTGCAGCCAACGGGCCCTAAGCGTACGCGTTCCTGAAATAGGGCATCTATTCGTCCCTTAGCTCAACGGGGTTCGGTTGGGAAGGCCATGATGGGATGGCAGAGGCTTTGGGCCGTGGGCCGGGAGCATTGACAGTCATCTGAGACCCGCGAACGCGAGGGCTTGGACTGAAGC